GTGCCACACCAGTGTGGTGAGTGTGCCACGCCAGTGTGTGGTGAGTGTGCCGCGCCAGTGTGTGGTGAGTGTGCCACGCCAGTGTGGTGAGTGTGCCGCGCCAGTGTGTGGTGAGTGTGCCGCGCCAGTGTGTGGTGAGTGTACCGCACCAGTGTGGTGAGTGTGCCACACCAGTGTGGTGAGTGTGCCACGCCAGTGTGGTGAGTGTGCCACGCCAGTGTTTAGTGAGTGTGCCACGCCAGTGTGTGGTGGGGTCCCACGCCAATGTGGTGAGTGTGCCTAGCCAGTGGGGTGAGTGTACCACGCCTGTGTGTGGTGAGTGTGTCACGTCAGTGTGGTGGGTGTGCCACGTCAGTGTGTGGTGAGTGTGCCGAGCCAGTGTGTGGTGAGTGTGCCACGCCAATGTGTGGTGAGTGTGCCGCGCCAGTGTGTGGTGAGTGTGCCACGCCAGTTGGTGAGTGTTCCGCGCCAGTGTGTGGTGAGTGTGCCACGCCAGTGTGTGGTGAGTGTGCCACACCAGTGGGGTGAGTGTGCCACACCAGTGTGGTGAGTGTGCCACACCAGTGTGGTGAGTGTGCCACGCCAGTATGGTGAGTGTTCCACGCCAGTGTTTGGTGAATATGCCACGCCAGTGTGGCGAGTGTGCCACGCCAGTGTGGCGAGTGTGCCATGCCAGTGTGGCGAGTGTGCCACGCCAGTGTGGTGAGTGTGCCACGCCAGTGTGGTGAGTGTGCCACACCAGTGTGGTAAGTGTGCGACGCCAGTGTGTGGTGAGTGTGCCACGCCAATGTGTGGTGGGGTCCCACGCCAGTGTGGTGAGTGTGCCACGCCAGTGGGGTGAGTGTATCACGCCAGTGTGTGGTGGGTATGCCACGTCAGTGTGGTGAGTGTGTCACGCCAGTGTGTGGTGGGTGTACCGCGCCAGTGTGGTGAGTGTGCCACGCCAGTGTGGTGAGTGTGCCACGTCAGTGTGGTGAGTGTGCCACGCCAGTGTGGTGAGTGTGCCATGCCAGTGTGGTGAGTGTACCACGCCAGTGTGGTGAGTGTGCCACGCCAGTGTGGTGAGTGTGCCACGCCAGTGTGTGGTAAGTGTGCCGCGCCAGTGTGTGGTGAGTGTGCCACGTTAGTGTGTGTTGAGTGTGCCACGCCAGTGTGTGGTGAGTGTGTCACACCAGTGTGGTGAGTGTGCCACGCCAGTGTGGTGAGTGTGCCACGCCAGTGTGGTGAGTGTGCCACGCCAGTGTGTGGTAAGTGTGTCCCGCCAGTGTGTGGTGAGTGTGCCACGTTAGTGTGTGGTGAGTGTACCACGCCAGTGTGTGGTGAGTGTGCCACACCAGTGTGGTGAGTGTGCCACGCCAGTGTGGTGAGTGTGCCACGCCAGTGTGGTGAGTGTGCCACGCCAGTGTTTGGTGAATATGCCACGCAAGTGTGTGGCGAGTGTGCCACGCCAGTGTGGCGAGTGTGCCACGCCAGTGTGGTGAGTGTGCGGCGCCAGTGTGTGGTGAGTGTGCCACGCCAGTGTGTGGTGGGGGTCCCACGCCAGTGTGGTGAGTGTGCCACGCCAGTGGGGTGAGTGTACCACGCCTGTGTGTGGTGAGTGTGTCACGTCAGTGTGGTGAGTGTGCCACGCTAGTGTGTGGTGAGTGTGCCACGTCAGTGGGGTGAGTGTGCCGCGCCAGTGTGTGGTAAGTGTGCCGCGCCAGTGTGTGGTAAGTGTGCCGCGCCAGTGTGGTGAGTTTGCCACGCCAGTGTGGTCAGTGTGCCACGCCAGTGTGGTGAGTGTGTCACGTCAGTGTGGTGAGTGTATCACGCCAGTGTGTGGTGAGTGTGCCACGTCAGTGTGGTGAGTGTGCTACGCCATCGGAGCTGCAACTTTCTGCTGGAAATGGAAGATGATGATAGCCGACGTGCGAATGTACCTAGTGCTGTATAGACATTCACTGGGTCAGCTCGCTTGAATTCCCTGCACGTTCAACTGAAATTCAATAAAATATGTGTCTTTTTAAGACTGTTGGGCAAAGCTGACAACCATTTATTAAAAGAGGAGAAGTGCTTTTGTAGTATAGTGTTAATAATATGGATTGATAGAAAAACGAACCAGACAATCCTCTTGTAGACAGATGAAGGTCGTAAACTAAGATAAATTAGACGTAGGCAGTGAGTGTATATCTGACATGTTATAAGACGCATAGGACTCGAGAACTTGGTAACAAATGGCAAGATGGCACAAGAAATGAATGAATAGATAAATTATTCAATAGATTTCATTGGACTCGATTTATTTCGCTACTTGCTGCGAGAAGTTCCCATTGGCTACTGAAGAAAGGAGAAAATCAATGTTTGGGAATTCCCTCAGTATCGTGAACTCATTCATTCATTCTTTCACAAATTCTACATTCACACATTTCTTTGCCAACTGATCATGAAAACGTTGTCAAAAATCAAGTTAAAAGAAAGGACTATTTGATTTTTTGAGAACACACAGTGGATTTACGCCGGGAGTACGGAGTTCATGCACCTTTCTGCTATTCTCCCTGTACGGTGGGCCGGTAGAACTTACTGGGAGAATCTTGTGCCAGGAAGCAGGCCTACTTGGCCCAGCTTCGGTGTACACTTGCTCCAGCGAGACGCTATCCTAATCTGACGGAAACGACATGGCTTGGTCATAAAAACCGTTTGGTTCCTTCTACGTTGTCTGCCCCAAACAGAGCGTAAGTGGTCTTGTATGTATGATTCATGACCTTTCACACGCGCCAGTCTATGTGACCTCTTAACGACCCCTAACACAACCATAATGTGAGGAGGCAACAACAATGTGCAGGACACAACGATAATCTGCAGGACAAAACAATAATGTACAGGACACAACAATAATAAGCAGGACACAAAAATAATGTGAGCAGGCAACAAAAATGTGCAGAATATAACAATAATGTGCAGGGCACAACAATAATATGCAGAACACAACAATAATGTGCAGGTCACAACAATAATATGCAGAACACAACAATAATGTGCAGGACACAACAATAATGTTCAGGGCACAACAATAATATGCAGGACACAACAATAATGTGCAGGACACAACAATAATGTGCATGACACAAGAATAATTTGCAGGACACAACAATAATACAAGGAAACATTAATAATGTGAGGACAGAACAATAATGTTCGGGACCCAACAATATTGTAAGTACACAACAATAATGTGCAGGATACAACAATAATGTGCAGGACACAACAATAATGTGCAGGACACAACAGTAATGTGCAGGATACAACAATATTGTGAGTACACAACAATAATGTGCAGGATACAACAATAATGTGAGGACGCAACAATAATGTGCAGGATACAACAATAATGTGAGTACACAACAATAATGTGCAGGATACAACAATAATGTGAGGACGCAACAATAATGTGTGTATACAACAATAATGGGCAGGATACAACAATAATGTGAGGAGGCAACAAAAATGTGCAGGATACAACAATAATGTGCAGGGCACAACAATAATCTGCAGGACACAACAATAATGTGCAGGGCACAATAATAATGTGCAGGACATAACAATAATGTGGAGGACACAAGAATAATTTGCAGGACACAACAATAATACAAGGAAACAACAATAATGTGAGGACATAACAATAATGTTCGGGACCCAACAATATTGTGAGAACACAACAATAATGTGCAGGATACAACAATAATGTGCAGGACACAACAATAATGTGCAGGATACAACAATATTGTGAGTACACAACAATAATGTGCAGGATACAACAATTATGTGAGGACACAACAATGATGTGCAGGACACAACAATAATGTGCAGGATACAACAATAATGTGCAGGATACAACAATGATGTGAAGGACACAACAATGATGTGCAGGACACAACAATAATGTGCAGGATACACCAATAATGTGAGGAAAGACAAGACCAATAATGTTCAGGACGCAACAATAATGTGAGGACACCACAATAATGTGCAGGATACAACAATAATTTGAGGACACAACAATAAATAATAAAAACAACAGCATGTTAATTTCACTTACAGATTGATGTTATTGGATGACGTGTGTACAAATGTATAAGTTTTCACCTACAGGGGATGGTTGTTTGGCATATGATGGGAGAAAACAGTGTCACTGTGACATATGGAGGCAGGTAACTGTGCCACTGTGACATGTGGTGGCAGGTAACTGTGCCACTGTAACTTATGGTGGCAGGTAACTGTGCCACTATGACATATGGTGGCAGGTAACTGTGCCACTATGACATATGGTGGCAGGTAACTGTGCCACTATGACATATGGTGACAGGTAACTGTGCCGCTGTAACATATGGTGGCAGGTAACTGTGCCACTGTGACATATGGTGGCAGGTAACTGTGGCATTGTGACATGTGATGACAGGAAACAGTGCCAGTGTGACATATGGTGGCAGGTAACTGTGGCATTGTGACATCTGATGACAGAGAACGCTGCCACTGTGACATATGGTGGCAGGTAACTGTGGCATGTAATGACAGGTAACGGTGACATATGGTGGCAGGTAACTGTGACATGGTGACATGTGATGATATACCGTCCATTATATCAGAAACATTTGAGAACAGATAATGGCAGTAACTGAGGAAGTCAAGGATTATCAGGAGCTTGTACCACTAAAATCAGTCTGAGCGAGGATGATGATGGCTACAATGGTGACGATGATGATGAAGTAACATTCAACAGTTAAACAATCTTGGCTACAGTAATGTTCAAGTGTAAAAATTCGTATGTGCAAGTAAGTTTAAACAGTTAAACAGCCAGGTGTTGAAGTAGAGTTCAACAGTTGAACAATTTTCGGCTGAAGTAACTTCCAACAGTTACAAAAAAATCTAGATCACTAAAGAGATGAGATGTTTCCTTGTCCGGAAAAATTTGCCATCAATTTTGGTTGCAGTTTCGTGGTGCTATTTCCTGGCATATTTTTTCATCAACTTTGTCCCATCCGGGAACTTTGTTTTCTGAAACAGTAAACATCAATAACAATACACCAACAACATATCGCAGACGAAAATGAAGAACAAGAAAATGTCACAGATTTCGAATACTTTGGCTCTTTAGTGGACAACAGTGGAGACTGCTCGAAAGAAGTCAGACATAGACTTGCATTAGCAATGCAGAGATTAAACAGCATGAAGAATTTATAGCAAAGCCCCTGTATATTTTTTGTTAAAGTTAAAACCTCTAGATCATGCATTTGTTTTGTGGCAGAAAAATTATCAGAATACCGGGGATTTAGAAAAGGAAAAAGAAAGACATTCTACGTGAGTTAACCATCAAGGAGAACTGGCCCATAAACATCGGCCTGTCCCGAAAGTGGAAGTATTTTGGCCACATGAAACATCATGGCGGCTTGGAGAAGACGGTGATAGAGGGTGCGGTTTGTGAAGAAAAGCGAGGCAGGGGTCGACCACCACGAAGATGGATACAAGACATTGAAGATGCATTGAAAGCACATGGGGCTGGAGAGCTGGCTAGGGTGAGGGATATTTTTTAGCCGTGTCGTAATGAGAGCGACGTTTCATAAAAAACTTGCTGACTGATGATGAAACATTAACGTGTGCGACCAAGTTACCAGTTTCTACAATGCACTAATACTAATAACTAGAGTACTTGATTTCTCCTCGTCATCATCATCACTAATGTTATCATCTTCACCATCATCAACGACAGCAACATATGGTGCTTTGTAAAGAGTTCCTGGCACACTCTGTCCTGCATCTTCTGGTAGCGGCGGGGGGGGGGGAGGAGCGGAGGGTGGGGGGGAGCTAAAATACTTCTTGTAGCCCAGCCCTTGATGTCGTCTACCATAGCACTGGCTGTGTACACCACTTTTAAGGCGGGGTAGCAATGAGGATCTTGACTGAGGGTAAAGGGCCGCATGGCTAGTGCTGTCGCCACGAACTGTGCAAGTGAGATTTTTTATTACTGCACCAACAGTAAAAAAAAACGTCTAGCTAATTTAACAATGATTTGAACCCGGGTCCCCAGCAAGAAAGCCCCGAGTTCTAACCACTCGAAAATTAGCCTTCTACAAAAGCCAAACGTTGTCACAAACTGATTTCATGGATTAAAAATCGAACACTGGCGTCTTAGCACTGAGAACTTAACAGGTGATCAGTCTCCGTCAGCGCATGCTGGAGTCTGTATTGCCCATCGTTTCCCTAGCTGTTCTAGTGTTGCCCTGGCTATTCTAGTGTTGCCCTCGCTGTTATAGTATTACCCTGGCTGTTCTAGTGTTGCACTGGCTGTTCTAGTGTTGCCCTGACTGTTCTAGTGTTGCCCTGACTGTTCTAGTGTTGCCCTGACTGTTCTAGTGTTGCACTGGCTGTTCTAGTGTTGCCCTGGTTTGAGTCAAGGCCATCTGCTGGTACATTGAGGTCACGTGACAGCAGTCGTAACGTCCTAGCAATTTATTGTCAACTTCCTCTGGCAGGTTTGCATCAGCATAATCATTAACTTGGGTCTGTGCAAGATTTGGCAGTGGCCCTCTATAAGGTTTTGTTATCCTGTGCAATCCTCTTGACATCATTGATAGTCCATTTCAGCATCTTTGGCTTTTTTCACCAACGTTCGTCTTATGCGGTCAGACACTGCCACAGCTGCCCATGATGTAGTTTCGGAGACTCGTGGAAGTGTTGCATTGTTTGTCTCCAGTCGCTGCCTCATTTTCTCCCTTCGTCAGCCGAAAGCACTGACGGTGGACCATGACAACTATTCTACACACCCTTGCTCAACTGGGATTCTTGACTGCAACTTTACTTCTTCTTCTTCTTTATCTTCTGCTTCCTCTTCTTCTTCTTCTTCTTCTTCTTCTTCTTCTTCTTCTTCTTCTTCTTCTTTATCTTCTTCTTCATCTTCTTCTTCTTCTTCTTCTTCTTCTTCTTCTTCTTCTGCTCCTTTTTTATGTCTCTTCTTCCATTTCTTTTCTTCTTATTTCTTCCTCTTCCTCTCCTCCTCCTCCACCTTCGTCATCTTCTTCTTCTTCTTTTTCTTCTTCTTCTTCTTCTTCTTCTTCTTCTTCTTCTTCTTCTTCTTCTTCTTCTTCTTCTTCTTCTCTTTCTCCTGTTATTTTTCCTGCTCCTAGTGTTTATTTGTATTGTTCTTTCACTAACTCTGTTCTTCCCCTGTGAACTGTTGTTCTAATGTCCACATGAGGCCGAGATCTCCCGTCTGTTGTTCTAATGTCCACATGAGGTTAGTATCTCCCGTCCGTTGTTCTGTCCACATAAAGCTGGGATGTCTCCTTTTTTCGGGAAGAAGAACACTTTAGAAAGCATTAAACTCTCTTAGCTTACCCAGGTGAGTTTCCGCCCCTGACTCTCTAAGCTTACCCAGGTGAGTTTCCGCCCCTGACTCTCTTAGCTTACCCAGGTGAGTTTCTGCCCCTGACTCTCTTAGCTTACCCAGGTGAGTTTCTGCCCCTGACTCTCTTAGCTTACCCAGGTGAGTTTCTGCCCCCTGACTCTCTTAGCTTACCCAGATGAGTTTCTGCCCCCTGACCTCGGCGATGACCATCAGCATATCGCCGGGGACCTCCAGGTTCTGCTGCTGCCACTTGATGAGCTCTCCCTCCGGGTAGATGACCGTCTGTACAACCAAAGAACACACGCACGTTTGATTACAAACGGACCTTTGTCACAAAGGACGGGATAGACAAGAATTTATCAGAGATTGCATGCAGGAATGCGTGCCGTTGAGGAACTAGTAAAAGCCCAGAAATCGTGGAGATATGAACAGCAATTATCAGGAAAAAGAGAAAGAAAGATTGGGTGAAGAACAACTTAATCCCTATCAACTATTCTATTCTCCTTTTGTCAATATCTCCGTATGCTTCTAGGCGTCACAGTTCATCAAATGGTCGGCCGTCGAGCCAAGGAGAGCTCGGTCGCTTGATATGCCATGACGTTTAGCAGTCTTAAGGTGTCAGTGACTCCCTCAGTACGTTTTCCTCTTGGTCTTTCCCTGCCTCTTGGTGTTTCGATTTTTAGGTTGTAAGCTCTTGATACTGAAATCGTTGATTTCATTCTCATTAGATGGCGAAACCATTTCATTCTTTGTCTTTCAATAAATCTGACGATGGGTGTTGTTCCAGCAGTTCTTGTGAACACGTTGTTTCTCACTTGACCTCTTCTGACACTGGTGTACAGACAGAAAGGAGACTTCCGGTTAAAATGGACGCTAGACAGCGGCGATGTTCGGAGCAGAGGCAAATTTATTGCTTCTGCCGGAGGGTGGCCGAAATATTTTTGCTCCATTTGTAGACTGGATATAGTTTCGTCGCCCAGCTTCTGAGTTGAATGCATGGCGTGACCCTGTGAGCTGTGGATTGCATTTGGAATGTTTTTTCGACTGTGACCAACGTGGCGGTGTGAATTGTAGATTCAGAAAATAGCGCGATGCCGGTCGTGCAATGCTGGCGGGACCCGTATCAAAATTGATCGCGCGGGCAACTGCTGATATGTTGACGACAAGTTCTGCTATCATCAATGATGAACTGCATTTCTAATGTTGGACTGTTTGTGTTAGCACTTCGGATGGCTACCATATGCGTTAATGCGAGTGTATGCTAGATAAGCTGAGACAGCAGTCTGTCAATCTTTCCACAAGGGACTGTGATAAACATTCTGGGTGTTTTTCGCTGGCACAGGAGCGGAGCAAAGATGGGGCGACCCGTTTGCTATGAAGCTGAAACTAAGACTACCAGACCAGACCAGACCAGACTGACACTGGTAACCTCAAGTCGGTATAAATATTTTTTTTTTGGGGGGTCTCTATTGGGAACCCAGGATGTTTTAAAATTGGAGCAAGTTGGTACGTGATATTGTGTGCCTGTCGGATTCTCGTTTCTATCTCTCTGTACCATGTCAAGATGCGTCCAAAGTATTTAACTCCTTGCACATTTGTCAAAACTTTGATCTCTGATCCTTATTTCTTCATTAGAAACCCCCGCCGGTATAATCGGTTTCATTCCATCCCACTTCCTTCTAGAAAACAAAAACTGGACCACGTTTAACCTTCTGTTGACAACGAGCTGCCAACAGTCTCCGGTCATATTTATTGTCTGGTTTATTTGCGCCATTTGCGTCTAAGATTTAGTTGTGTGCGCCATGTCTCTGGCTTTGGTTCCTATCCTAATAGCCAGACCACTCCTTTCTGTCTGTATACCAGTGAACATGTTTTCTACAATCTCCTCTCCTTTCTGTCTGTATACCAGTGAACATGTTTTCTACAATCTCCTCTCCTTTCTGTCTGTATACCAGTGAACATGTTTTCTACAATCTCCTCTCCTTTCTGTCTGTATACCAGTGAACATGTTTTCTACAATCTCCTCTCATTTCTGCCTGCGAGAGTGCATTTGTTCTGAAAGACGCAATCACACGCCAATCGTGGCTCAGTAAGGTCACTGACAATCTCGCGACACTCCACATCACTTCATATCACTTCACGTCACTTCACGGTGACTCTGTTTCTCCTAAGATCTTACAGAGATGCTATGTAGAGCCGTGATCCGCTATTGCTTCCTGACTCCTGACACGGTACTCCAACTCTGACAGACCAACTGCAACCATCTCTCTTGAAGTATGTCCGGCTGCGATCTCTGAGACCTCACACAGAACTCCAACTTTGAATGACCAACTGCAACCATCTCTCTAGAAGTATGTCCGGCTGCGATCTCTGAGACCTCACACAGTACTCCACATTTGACTGACCAACTGCAACCATCTCTCTAGAAGTATGTCCGGCTGCGATCCCTGAGACCTGACACAGTACTCCAACTTTGACTGACCAACTGCAACCATCTCTCTATTAGTATGTCCAGCTGTGATCCTTTAGACCTGACACAGTTCCCAACAGTAGTTTAGTATGTCCCTTTTGACTAGACTAGACACTGGACCCTGGACACTGGACCCAAGACCCTGGACAATGGACCCTGGACAATGGACCCTGGACACTGGACCTAAGACCCTGGACAATGGACCCTGGACAATGGACCCCGGACACTGGACCCAAGACCCTGGACAATGGACCCTGGACACTGGACCCAAGACCCTGGACAATGGACCGCAACCATATCTCTGGCAGCATGTCCGGCTGTGATCACAGAGACCTAACACACACAAAATGAACCAGGACATGCCACTAGTACCTGCATCAACTTCCCGTTGGGGTAAATCATCATGAAGGGCTGGCCGAGGTAGAAGTGGTAGCACATACTGTTGTCTGTGTCCAGGTCACCCATCTGAAACGTCCACACTCCACCATTCTTCTTAAACACCAGAGACGTTCTCGGGCTAGGACTCACTTTCGAGAGCGATTTCGTAGCAGTTTCTGGTAGAGAGACAAGTTGATGATGACAATGATGGTTTTGATAGTGGTGATGCTGGAAATGCTGATGATGGGTACTGTGGTGGTGGTTGCTGTATACGGCCATGGTGAGAGGAGGAAGGTGATATTTCAACTAGAACCACTTGCAGACACGCCAAGCCACAACAGAACTTGTTGTTGACAGCGCTGGTGGTGATGATGATTGTGCTGGTTGTGATGACGGTGTCGATTCATCATGTTTCCTACATTAGGACATCTGTAGCCTCTGTAGCAGTTTGTGTGCCAGGATTCATTATGTTTCCTACATTAGGACATCTGTAGCCTCTGTAGCAGTTTGTGTTCCAGGATTCATTATGTTTCCTACATTAGGACATCTGTAGCCTCTGTAGCAGTTTGTGTTCCAGGATTCATTATGTTTCCTACATTAGGACATCTGTAGCCTCTGTAGCAGTTTTGTGTTCCAGGATTCATTATGTTTCCTACATTAGGACATCTGTAGCCTCTGTAGCAGTTTGTGTTCCAGGATTCATTATGTTTCCTACATTAGGACATCTGTAGCCTCTGTAGCAGTTTGTGTTCCAGGATTCATTATGTTTCCTACATTAGGACATCTGTAGCCTCTGTAGCAGTTTGTGTTCCAGGATTCATTATGTTTCCTACATTAGGACATCTGTAGCCTCTGTAGCAGTTTGTCCCCAATATTCTCACACCGTTTTATTCTGTTTGTCTTCTTAAAGACATCAAGTTACCCTTGTTCCAGTTGCCTTCTTTCGATTACACAACCAGATACCGAGGACTGTCTCTTTCTGCCAGAAGAATATCTTTTTCTGTGACAGAAGAGTAGCTCTTTCTGATGTTTGTTATATCTTGCCTTCTACCCCCCACCCCCAACTTCGATTGCCCATCTTTGTTGTAAAAGATTTGGACAGCATTCATATGTAGAACCGGATCTTTGAGTCTTCAGGGCATCAAATAAAATATACTTGGGAAGAAAGGGGAGGGCGGTATCATTTTTCTTCTGTTTTCTTCCGTTCTCTTGCCAGTGATTTTATCATGAAAACGACACCGGTCTCTACAAAGTCTGTGGTGTGATGCATATCTTTCACTGTTCCAAACAATTTGGTTTCTACTGGAGTGCCAACCGGCCAGCCCTGGGACCTCTCTGCGGCATGTAGAGATCCTGTCTGAGGCACATGTTCGGTATTCTCTGGCGTCTGTCCACCTGGGCACCTGTCCACCTGGGCACCTGTCCACCTGGGCACCTGTCCACCTGGGCACATGTCCTCCTGGGCACCTGTCCCCCTGGGCACAGTTCTGAACGTCTAGTCTTGGATTTCTTCTACATATGGCTGCCGAGTCTCTTGTGCTCAGTATGCAACCTAAACTTAGTGGTCTGTTCCTTTCGGCCGAGGGGGTTGATTGGCTCTTCTAATATTAGAACATCTGAGAAAGGAGAAAATTGTGTTTGGATGTCTTCCTAGACACAAACCGATGCGTCTATTGAAACAGTTAGTCATACGTATGACTGTCTGGAAACAAAGTGTTTCAAAAACATATTTACACCAACATGGTGCTGTCAGTGTCAGACCTGAACGTTATCAAAGGCTAACTTAGGTAACATTCAAACATTCGAGGTAAGAACTGAGGTAAGCCACCAATATAACCATCCGAGATCGAGTGAGAAATGATGCATCGCTTCTTGGCCTTTGACTACGATCAAGGTGAGAAAGGATAATGTCAGTCAGACGGTGGAAACGGTACCGTGCATTACATTCAGTGGGAAGCAGAAGATCCGGTTGTTGAGTCATCTTGTTACAACAACAACCACCACAGGCGCTACACGCAAGAAGATGTGGCGTGACAGCAAGAAGATGCGGCGTGACAGCAAGAAGATGTGGCGTGACAGCAAGAAGATGTGGCGTGACAGCAAGAAGATGCGGCGTGACAGCAAGAAGATGCGGCGTGACAGCAAGAAGATGTGGCGTAACAGCAAGAAGATGTGGCGTGACAGCAAGAAGATGTGGCGTGACAACAAGAAGATGTGGCGTGACAGCAAGAAAATGTGGCGTGACAGCAAGAAGATGTGGCGTGACAGCAAGAAGATGTGGCGTGACAGCAAGAAGATGCGGCGTGACAGCAAGAAGATGTGGCGTGACAGCAAGAAGATGTGGCGTGACAGCAAGAAGATGTGGCGTGACAGCACGAAGATGTGGCGTGACAGCAAGAAGATGTGGCGTGACAGCAAAAAGATGTGGCGTGACAGCAAGAAGATGTGGCGTGACAGCAAGAAGATGTGGCGTGACAGCAAGAAAGTGCCGCAGGAGAACATGGATAAATTATATTCACGACCTTCTGAACGGACACGCAATGGCAATAGCCATTTCTGCCCATTTAGCAATGGATCACGATTTGTCCCTCCCCACGTCGCTAAACAGTAAACGTGATTATTGGGATGACGATGATGATGATGTTGAGATATGAAATGAGATTAGAATAAAACGCATTGTAAAATGGTGAACAGAAAAGAAGTAATCCGAAAAAAATGTGCTCAACAGTCAGGGACCAACTTTGAGATGTCTGTTGACTCCGGTAGTACGTCATCTTCTCCAACTGCCACCTGCCCAGGAAGGCATCTAAGTTAGATTCTAACTGAGAGGCCTGGCTACCCATGACCACCCCTCTACCGACAGGCTGTCCCACAATCACCTGCCGGTTTTCTGTTGAGACATGTCTACATGGCCATTGTCGAGCAGAGATTAAAGACAAGAGCCTGCGAGGAAACCCCGAAATCAGTCGTGGAGCGTTCATCGTTGAGACATCGTCTTGTGTTCTCTCAGTAGATGGCGGAGCACTGTACAAGCACCAGTGTGGAACGCACAGTTTGCTGCACAAGTTTATGATGCGCAAATCACCGCCATCATGTTTGTAAATCCGGACTAAACGTTGCTATAACCATAACTTCAGTCAATCAATCAGGTGCCGTCTTCATAGTAAAGGCTGACTACAAGGGATCTCCAACACACGCTGTCTTGGTTGTAACACACTCTAAGACTGCTTTCCGTCCATCTCTTCATGTTGTATCGTTGTCTACCTTTTGCTCACATACCCTTGACCTTTCCCTCGTGTGTGGTGTTTACAAGAATGTTATTGGCTAGAGAAGAATTATCTAGAGAAAGAGAGAGCTTCAGGCTTACCGTGAAGAGAGCTACGTTCTCTAACTCACCTGCCGGTTGATTATATCCTCTTTTTTCAGTTGTCTCTGGTTTTTTCTTTCAGGAATCACAACGTGTTGATCGACACTGACCGTGTTAGTCGACACCCACCGTGTTAGTCCACACCCACCGTGCTGGTCGACACCCACCGTGTTAGTCCACACCCACCGTGTTAGTCGACACCCACCGTGTTAGTCCACACCCACCGTGCTGGTCGACACCCACCGTGTTAGTCGACACCCACCGTGTTAGTCGACACCCACCGTGTTAGTCGACACCCACCGTGTTAGTCGACACCCACCGTGTTAGTCGACACACACCGTGTTAGTCGACACCCACCGTGTTAGTCGACACCCACCGTGTTAGTCGACACCCACCGTGCTGGTCGACACCCACCGTGATAGTCGACACCCACCGTGTTGGTCGACACCGACCGTGTTGGTCGACACCCACCGTGTTAGTCGACACCCACCGTGTTAGTCCACACCCACCGTGTTAGTCGATACTCACCGTGTTAGTCCACACCCACCGTGTTAGTCGACACCCACCGTGTTAGTCGATACTCACCGTGTTAGTCGACACCCACCGTGTTAGTCGACACCCACCGTGTTAGTCGACACCCACCGTGCTGGTCGACACCCACCGTGTTAGTCGATACCCACCGTGTTGATCGACACCCACCGTGTTGGTCGATACTCACCGTGTTAGTCGACACCCACCGTGTTGGTCGATACTCACCGTGTTAGTCGACACCCACCGTGTTGGTCGATACTCACCGTGTTAGTCGACACCCACCGTGTTGGTCGATACTCACCGTGTTAGTCGACACCCACCGTGTTGGTCGACACCGACAGTGTTGGTCGACACCCACCGTGTTAGTCGACACCCACCGTGTTAGTCCACACCCACCGTGTTAGTCGACACCCACCGTGTTAGTCGACACCCACCGTGTTAGTCGACACCCACCGTGTTAGTCGACACCCACCGTGTTAGTCGACACCCACCGTGTTAGTCCACACCGACCGTGTTAGTCGACACCCACCGTGTTAGTCGACACCCACCGTGTTAGTCCACACCCACCGTGTTAGTCCACACCCACCGTGTTAGTCCACACCCACCGTGTTGGTCGACACCCACCGTGTTAGTCGACACCCACCGTGTTAGTCCACACCCACCGTGTTAGTCCTCACCCACCGTGTTGGTCGACACCCACCGTGTTAGTCCACACCCACCGTGTTAGTCCACACCCACCGTGTTAGTCCACACCCACCGTGTTGGTCGACACCCACCGTGTTAGTCGACACCCACCGTGTTAGTCGACACCCACCGTGTTAGTCGACACCCACCGTGTTAGTCCACACCGACCGTGTTAGTCGACACCCACCGTGCTGGTCGACACCCACCGTGTTAGTCGATACCCACCGTGTTGATCGACACCCACCGTGTTGGTCGATACTCACCGTGTTAGTCGACACCCACCGTGTTGATCGACACCCACCGTGTTAGTCGACACCCACCGTGTTAGTCCACACCGACCGTGTTAGTCGACACCCACCGTGTCTTCCTGCCTAAACAACCTGGCGTAATAAACCAGGTTAGCCCACCTTCTGAGATTGCCTAGGGAGATAATGGGCCGAAACATTCGTCGACGAAGGACCTTTCTATTGATGATTGATAGATACTCCCGTGTGAAGTTCTTCTATTTATCAGAAGCTAAACTCTTTTTCTTCAGTGATTGAGTGAGAGTCTAGGACTCACAACTGTAAATTACAACCAAAGAAAATGCACTAT